ATCTTTGCTACACAACTTCTAGATGTTAGGATCCATATGAAAGTCCATGTCTTTACATGGAATCTGAGAAATATCAAGGAAGCTATTCAGTCTGCTCCACTCCTAGATTCAAAAGCCGCTCCACATACCTCAAAGACTTGCTTTTTGCCTGGTGGAAAGGGTTTGAGGCGGAGAATCAAGAGACAGCTCTGTCACCTACCAGCAACCTGACCCTGGACAAGAAAGGCACTTAACCTCTCTCTACTTCAGCCTTTTCACTGGGGAAACAGGGAAATTAGCACCCGATGCAAACTTGCATGAAAGTTATAAAACTAACGAGGACCACAGATGTGGGGCCCCAGAATGGGAAGCAGCGACTGCAGCTTCACCTCAGCAATGACGGCTTCGCCGGTGGACAACTGATGACTAGATTCCTGGAAGGTGATGGGACTCAAAGACAATGCCCAAGGATGACAGCTCATTAAAGAGCAGGAAGTTCCTCATGGCCCAAGAGCTTTCTGTTGCACATTCCCTGAAGCTTGGGCCTGGCTCTTGGGAGGATGACCGTGGTGGCACCTCTGTCGCAGATCCCCAGCAGCTCCACAGTGGCCAGCCCAGTGCTGCACCCATGCAGAGTAGAGATCACGGACTCCCAGCACAGCGGCTCCCACAGTTTCCTTTCCTCCTCATATCCATCACTTGGAACTTCCACCCATAGGTCCCCCTGACACCCCTGGGCTGCCGGGCACAAGCTGGGACCACCCAGTACTCAGTGGATCCTCTTCCCCCTGGATTGCATCTCAGCATAGCCCTGGCCCTCATCCTTGGTCACCACTCAGCGTCCCCTCACAGCAGGCCTGGATCCAAACTCTCCTGCTCTATGGTCACTCACTGGCCTGCGGTCACCAAATCTGAGCAATAATGTTTCCTCAAGTATATTTAATAATTCTCAACAAATCAAATCCAAATTAAGATCAAACATACTACAGATATATTAATTTTCAATGTCCTCAATGGCCTATTAGCCAGGAATATGAAGAATACAAACAGAAATGGTCAAAAGGCTATTTTTAAATTATTTTGCAGTACAGTGAGAGGATGTTGGTTTCCAAAATGATCTTTCCGCCATCAGTGGCCAAGTGTCCCATTCCTGACATCCTTTAACAGGATTCTAAAAATAGTATCTCTAAGTGTGTTAGAAAGGGGAAAGCATAAAAAGCTGGATCACCAAACCTCATTTCTCCCTGTGATTTTACCGGCCAACTTCCTGGTAGGATGTTAACTTCTTGTCTGAATACAAACCTCACAAAGTTGCATATCACAAAGCTGTGAGCACGTGTGCGCACTTTATACTTGTGAAACACACTTACAGAGGCAACAGAAAGCAAACTCTGACCTGGCAATGGTGGGGGGTGGCCCTGGCAGGTAGACTCAAAGTTTCAGCCCAGCCTGGGCAGCTCAGGAAATCAGAGCAATGAAGCAACTTAGCACCTTAAAGAAGAGGTTGGGACCGCAGCTCAGTGGGGACATCCTAGGTTCAATCCCCAGTACTGACCAAAGTTATTTAGAAGCCCAGTGAGGGGCCTGATCTTCCAAGCGTCCTCTCTGTTAACCATTAGATTTTCGTCAATAAAATTCCTTGCTGGAACCCAAAATAGTTAAGAAGACAAATTCCCCGTAGTTTCTATAATGTATTGGAGCCATCTACTGCATTGTTAGCTACAAATGTAACAAACTGATCATTCTACTTAGCTGTAGTTAAGACCACAAGGTATAGAATGTGATTTGTATTCTCCAGCAGAAAAGACTCATGGGTCTGGGGTAGGCAACAGTGAGGGTGGGTGGGGGTCCCCTGGAGCTCATGTATCAGGGATGACTCTGAGGTCCACACAGGAAGCACCAGGGACCCTAGAAGGGGTGGCTGTGGACAGCACAGACCCCTTGTAAGGATGACCAGTGAGTCAGTGTCCGTATTTCCCTAGGGACATGTGACAGCCCCCCAGGACTGAGTTTGGCCCAGGTTCTCTGGGCCCTGTAGGCTCTGCTTGATCTGGTCAAGGTAAGGCACAGGAAACAGGAAGAGGAGGAACATATGGCTATTGTGCTCCCTAGACTTCTGGTCACAGCTGGACCTGTCCCTCTCTGGAAGGCACAGCCCTCTGTCCTTCCCCCGTCTGCCCCTGGTTCTGCCCTGGACTATCGCTCTTCCCATGTCTGGGCACACAGTTCCCGGGGTGACTCCATAGTACAGTGACCAGTTCAAGGGTGCCGTTGGTGTTCCCGGGTCCCTGAATGAATGACCTGATGGATGACAAGATTTTATTTCGCTTACACTTGTAAGAGATCTGAATCAAGACATTAGTTCTAACAGGGCAGATCAAAACCATAAAGTTCAACCACGGCCTCCCTCTGCAGAGCTGCTGGTGTCTCAGCTTGTGGAATTTCAGCACAAGGCCAGATGACAGGGCCACAGCAGTAGTCACCAACCAGTAAGAGAAACTGAAATCCTTTCACAGAGCTCAACTATGTCCTCCAAAGACAAAATACACACTACCTGCTTTAATTTCAAGAACAGAAATTTTGCACATCACTGAATCTAAAATAAGTTCTGACTTACACAATCTGACTTCAGAAATGTTAAAAATGTGGGGGAAACTTTCCCTTAGAAAGATTAAATAGGGTGCTTGGCAAACTTGACTCATGCCTGATACGTCAGCTTTCCCCAGGGAACAATGACGCTTAGGCTTCTGCATGAAGACCTTCTTACTTCCTTTGATTGGAAAGACATCACTGGAAAGTGAGGAGCAGCCCCTTGGGCCCTGCGCTGCAGCTTCCGAATACGTGACCCATTCTCTCCTCCATGCAAAGATCTGGCTTTCTAATTCCCTGGATTCCATGGTGCAGCCTTTCCGCTAGTATCCCCACTTCAGCAGTGGGACCATTCATAAAAGCAGGTGCCTGTGGAGATGGGGTTCTCTGTGCTGGCCTAGTGACATCCTATCTGGTGCATAACCGGGAGTCTTATGAACTCAGGAAGTGGACTTGGAGTAGCCCAGGAGTCCTACATGCTCATGGCCACCTTTCCAACCTGATTCAGACTCACAACCAGTTGAACACACAGATCCCGATTTCTGGTGAGGCTCCGCCACCTCGCCCACAGCCAGCAGGTGTGGGAGTAGATGCAGTTACGCTTGGACTTGGAAATCAGATTCTGCAAGGTTGTTGTGAGTTTCAAAAAAAGTCACAGCCCAGCTGCAAGCACACAGCATTCGTATGAGCTATTTATGTGTGAAAACAGGTGGGAAGTCCTCTTCTTGTCCCCTGCACAGTTGCCTGGAGGTCAGGAGTGCTGGCAGTGTGGCCACGTGGGAAGAGACTATGCTCCAAACCCAAGCCTGCCATGCACCTCCTGTGTGCCATGGTTGCCTGTGCTGGGTCTGCAGGTGGCTGGGTGAGGGTCACATCAACACTCGGCACCTTCTAGGGAGAAAGACCTTGGTGTCTAGGTGGGTGTTCCAACCTGTAATCATGGTTTTCTATTTTTTGTTTGTGTTTTGATACCAGAGACCAAAATCAGACTTTTGCCGCTGGGCTAAATTCCTGTTTATTTTTGAGACAAGGTCTTGCTATGTAGCCCAGGCTGGACTCCAATGACATTCAACTCTTGCTTGTATGGTCATATCTCAGAATTCGGCTGCACTGAGTTTGGTACCCCTAACATTCTGGGGTGAGAATTTTGTCCCCACCCTTGTCATTTACCTAGTGCCCTGCATGCAGGCTAGAACTTGTCAGTATTGACTGCCTTGGGTCTTGCTAACCTTCCCAGCCCAAACTATCTGTTTGGTTCTTGTTCTTGGTACTGTTTTTGGTCTTGTTTTTGGTACCAAGGATCTACTGTACAAGAGCACCCCCTTGGTTTCGCACAGTGTGAGGAGCTCAAGTTTTGATGGCCAGCTTTCTTAGCAAGAAGCTGTGGGGAGGCAAAATGGGAAGCACTGTACTGAAGGACAGAGAAGGCCTTCTGGCCCATGAGGAACGCAAGCCAGGAAGCTCTGGTCTAGAGGCTCTCTGCACACAATGGGACAACATGGTCCCAGCAGGGTCCCCTCCAGATACAGGAGGAAGCAGGCCACTTCCCTGACAGGTCCACCATCCTACACACGCTAACCAGTACTCAGGAAAAGTACAGTGAAAACAGAGGCAGAGAATTGACATAACCGAGCTTATGCCTGAGCACAGGGAGCGCTTGCTGGAGACCCACTCTCACAGATACTGGTTCACGTTCCACATCTTGTTTCCAGGGGTTAATGTGCCTCCGAAGTGTTTCTGTGCCTTGTTGATTACAGTCACATTCATTTCACCTCTCCTCACGTGGGCAGGTGTGTGCGCGTGTGTGCACCTGTGCCTCCATGGATGTATCCCCATTTACATCAGGGAAATAAAAAAGCATCAACTCATTTGCACGAGCCACTTCAAAAAGATCACGTTCTGTGATCACGGAGACAAAGGACTCAACAAGTCAAAGGAGAATCGAGAGAAACTGATGGCTACAAGGGTGTGGCGCCCACTGAGGACAAAGAGTTAAAAGGTGCTAGCAGAAGAAGCATTTCCCATAACGTGTTGCTAAAAACCAGCATAGAGTTAGTTATTCGGAATTAAACTCAGCCAGGAGCAGGAATGCCAAAAGGAGGGTGACAGCATCTCGAGGACTCCTCACTTTGGAGTGGACACTGGCCCCAGGGCACCCAGGTGGGCTGTGACTGCAGGACCTGACCAAGAGCATCATGAGAAGTAGTAACAATGGCAAGGGCTGAGACCACAGCTGTGGTCAAGTCATCTGAGAGCCAGCTGGGGATGACAAGGTGCCAAGGCCCTCTTGTTCCCCCTGGAAATGGAGAGCACACGAGTGATCTGCCTGTCTGCTCAACAAGAGCCCTAAGGTATCTGACGTTACACACCAGAAACACAAAGAGTGTTTATTAGTGTAGACACCCGTCCCCAGCGTCCTGGGGCCACCTTACCTTCAGCTGTGCCAGAGAGCCCATCAGCTTTGAAGTTGCTGGTACTTTTCTTCCTGCGGTGCTTCTTTCTGTTGGCGTGGGGGGAGGGTGGCGGGTCGAGCTTGGGGCTGGTGGAGCTGGAGATACTTGGGCTGGAGCACACGGAGTCACCCAACCCCGTGTCTGTCACCGGACCGGAAAAGGCAAAAGAATGCAAAGGTAAGCATGGGAAAAATAGCCCCAGCCACAACAGTCAAGCAGTGCGTCTCCGACCTCACAAGGCCTTGCGTGTGGCACCTCTCGATGAGATCACTGGCTGGAGGCCCAGGGCCTCAGGTCTGAGAAGATCAGGGAACCCCTGGCACGTGACACCTGCCACCCAAAAGCAGGCACTTATTTCAGCATTGTTTTACCCCAGGGAGAATTTAAAATTCTCTACTCCCTGTGGTTTGAGTCCTAGGGAGTCACGTTCAGAATCCAAGATCTCTGGAATGGCAAAGTGATAAGCTCATGTTTTTTAATTGTTTATTTTTCTTTTCCCATAATTACCTAGACATGTCAAGAATGAAACAGACGCTTAGGGATTAACAGGATAGGATCATCTTAAACAAACTGCCTTGAATCTGTGGGTGCGTGGGAGATGGGGTGCTCCTTCTGCCCTTCACCCCAGGAAACTGCACATGACCATTTTGCTCCTTTGCTTTATGATGAGTGAAAACCAGACAATGCCGATTTTTTTTTTTTTTTGTCTTTTTCTTTTTTATCGGTACTGGGGATTGAACTCACGACCACACACTTGCAAGGCAGACACGCCACTGAGCTAAATCCCCAGCTCCAATGCCGATTCTTTCAGCAATATCCTGTGATAGCGTCCGGAGGCTTGACAAAGTGGACCTGCCAATTTCGGTTCAGTGAAGCTACTCACAGAGGTTTTTGAAAGCCAGCGCACTGCACTAATACGATGACTCACTGTGAGCCAAACTCCCATTTGTTATTGTTTTATCAGAATCCACCAGGCCGGAAGAGCACATGGAATCGAGCAGAGGGATGACGCTTGTTTCACAAGTCGGCCAGTTCATGATTCTAAAACCTCGGCATTGCACTGCATTTGCTCAGCTCTACTTCCTGAGCCCTGATCAGCTACGTCAGCCACTGTCTGCACAGACAGCAGGGGCATCGCTCAGAAAGCCTGAGCCAGAGCTGGGAGCCGACAACTACCCTCGTGTTCCCTGCCCCGAAGCTCACATCCTTCCACTGCTGCCCAAATTCACCCTTTATTAATAGGGTTGGCCTCTCCACTCACCCCACTCCTACATGAGCCACACTGCCCCTCGACTGGCTCCTTGTGCACAGCTGGACCCTGCAGCCAGGTCAGAGCTGTGTCCTAGGCTTTACAATGCTAAGCTTTCTAAAGTCGTGGTCTGCAGCCACAGAATTCAAATATCACACTGACTGAAGCATCTGATTGAACGGTAAATGCTTACATTTAGAAAAAGTAAAAGACACATTGCCTTCCCATTCCCCTCAAGAACCTCCCCGTCACTTCTAACACACGCATCCCTCGCTCCTGCCTCTTTCTGCAGCAGTTCTGCAAGTGCCCTTTTGTGTGTGTCTTCAGTCGCAGTGTCCTGGCTGCCTTGAAGTCCTCAATCAATACCAGGCATTGACCTTTCCTGCTCACTTTGACTTCGGGAAAGAGCCAGAAGTCACAGGGTGCCAGATCCAGTGAATGAGGTGATGAGGGCACACCTTCATGTTTTGACAGAAACTATTGCAAATGGTTGATTAATAAGAGGCAATCAAAAAGCACAGTAAAGGTGTAAATAAAAATATTTACTACAGTAAAAGACACAATGCCATGAATCCTGAAAATTCTCCCTCAATGGGACCACATAACCCCATCATTCCTAGTAAAGTGTCTTTTACTGTAATACACTCCTAAACATTCATTGTACTTTGCAATCGTCCTTGGTACAGATACTGGGGTGCGGCTATGTAACTACCATTTCAGCCTCAGCAGCTGCAGGTTGCCCTGGGGGCTGGTCCTGGGACCACCAGATTGTTACTTTATCCAGAAATACTCTTCCGTGTGTTACTTGGCACTTGGGCAGTGAACACTTTCGCTCCTTTTAAATTCTTACCACCCCGATTTCAGCAGTCATCAGCCTCTGACCTGTCCTCTCTGTGCCAGGTTCAGTACCAGGCCATGGGAAAGAAGTGGTCGCCGTGCCTGTGCAACCCTCAGCAGCTCATCCCTGACTGTGCAGACTGAGAAGCATCGTGGGCAAATCCAACTGCCTCTGCTGCCTGGGGCCATGGTTCCACCTGTCCCCGGGGTCCCTCGGGCATAATCTCCAGTGGCCAGGTTGTGTCTGTTTCCATCTGTCTTTCCCTCGCCTTCCTCTGGCACCTGGCGTCAGTAATGCTCTAAGCTAATATGGTGCCTCTCTGCACTGCAGATCTGCAGGTAGGGCTCTGCTGTTGTCTCTCGGAACCTAAATAGCATCCCTGCCCCGAGAGCGCTGCAGGGCCCCCGTCATCTGCGTGTCCTGCACTCTAGGCAAATGAGCGACGCTTACACTATGGCTTCTGTTCCTTTCTGTTATTCTTCTGCCCATCTGTGTTGGCCTTGGTCTTATTCCTGCAGTGTCCTAGGCTTACTTGGCATTCACCACCCATCCCAGTCAGTGGGGAGGACCCAGAAGAACCTCATGTCATCAGGTCCATAGCTGCAAGCCTCTCAGCATCATCAGGGTACCCAGCTGAGGTCTAGCTCACATGCCTTGGACTTGGCTAGAAAGAACCCAAGGGACAATCTTGGCCAGCACTGCCCTAAAGGCCAGTAGGCAGACATTAGACTTACATTTCCCCCAATTTAGAAACAAGAAGAGGGTATCTACTGGGCACTTCTCAAGGAGTGATCTCTGCTCAGATTAATCACTGTTCCCCCTCTGTGCACACAAGTGTCTCTTTGACAGTCTACAGCAGAACCCTGTCCAGGGCTGGGGGACCTGAAGCTCACTGCAGGGGGCTCAGAATTCACATTTCTTGGAACCCAAGTGACAGGAACCTGTTTCCAAGCGCATTCCCTTCTGGCTACAGAAAACCTTTTCTAAAATAATTGGCAGGATCAGGGTGCACTTGCTGTGAGTCTTCCTGGTGACCAGGCAACTTCAGAGATCAGGGAGGTGCCCCTGACTCACAGGGAGAACCTGTCTCAGGAGAGTCCACATCTGGATATAATGCCACCTCCTCGCTCTGGGGGACAGCAAAGTGGGCCCAACAGCACTGCTTCTAAAGGCCCACTGGGTCTGAGCTGGGAACACCTGCCCAGGACCTTCTGGCTGTGAATGTGGGGCGGAGGGGCTCCGGTACCAAGAGGTTGCATCCTGAAATGCTGACAAATGTACCCCCTACCAGCTCTGCCCTCACAGGACATCAGTGCCCCTGGGGGATGCAGCCAGCTCTTCTCATCTCTCACTTCCCACACCCTTGGGATACCTTTGAGATTCCCCTCCGACAGTGCAAATTCTCTGTTAGGTTGATACACTGAGTCAATCTAAGAAGTTGAGAAGTTTAACTAAGAGACTCAGCGGGGAGCCAAGATCCTTACTCTGTAAATACCCTCATCCTGTGCAAGAGGAGAGCACAGAGATTTTGTGAGTGCTATACCCACCCTGGGTTGGGGGTAGCCTGTGTACAGTAAGATGGGGAATAAGAAGCTCACCCTTGCCCCCTTTTGCTCTTGCTGCTTTTGCTGGCTGTTGCCTTGAAGTGTTGCCCCAGTGCCACGCCACCCTGCCTTGGAGCCCACGGGTTATGGACAGAAACCTCCACAAACAGTGAGCTAAATAAACCTTTATTTTGAGTGTCAGGTATTCTGTCCTAGCAACAAGAGCAAAGTAACAAGACATTCCCTCACACCAGTATCTTTTGGGGAGGCTAGTCTTCCAAACAAAACTCACAGTCTCCTTGGGACACGTTTTCCAAGAGGGGTGCTATGAAATGCTCCAACCCCAAACTTGGGCCTCCTCCTTGCCTAACCTAATGCTCACTACCTGCAGACCACATCTCCTGTGGGAGGCTGCATCTGGGACCATGCTGCTCACCCCGAGAGCCCCCAGGTCGGCTTGTCCTCAGCTGTGTGCCCTCCTGGTCCTCACAGGTGGCCCGCAGTCCCCATTGTCCCTTGCCAAGTGTTTCAGTCACTCATCACAGTGGTTCCCCAGGACTGCCACCAGCAGGGTCCATGGCTCCCTCTGCTAGCAATCATCCAGCAATCTGTCCCTGCTCTGGCCACTCACACACCTCCCACCCCTCCTCTCCTTATCCAGTGGGGCAGGGATATCCACAATTCCAAATGTACAGCTGCAGACCCCACTCTCTGCTTCCTTCCTGTCCACCCTTCCCAACTGGGCTCAGGCAGAGCAGTGCTACACAGATTTGAGCTCCTCAGTCCCAAGATCCTGCCTTGCTAGCCCTGCACCCTGGGCATGCTCTGGAAGGAAATGCCCTCCTCACTTCCAGGAGCCACCCACGGTCTTCATTTCTCACACATGCCCTGCCTTCCAGTGTCACAGCACTTCTCACTGTACTGACTGGAAAAGTGTCACCTAACAGCAAGCATCCCGGTCCACTGTCCCCAGCCTTCATGGGCTTGACTCTGTTTCCACTTAGGTGGCATTTGTTGGCCCTAGCATGACATGCCCTGCCCAGGTTGCACCCATTGTGACCCGGACCTCTGCCCCTGCAGTACTTGGTTCTGTCCCTCTTGAAGGCACAGCTGCTCCAAAGTCTTTCCCTCTTCACTGATGTCCATGTCCTTAGTCCAGCCAGTGATGTGGCTTTGTCGCGGCCAACAGCGCCTCCCCTCCAGGGATCTCAGCAGGCCCAAGGGCCGTGTGAGTCTTAGGGGACACCACAGAGCTCATCCCTCCCTCCTGTGACCAGAAGCCATGGTGAGAGTTCATACTAGGCACCCGGCAAGGAAACCAGGAGGTGCTGGGTCCTGGAGGCCCTCAGAGGGAGAAGTCTCCCCTACCTGGTCACAGCCCATTGGCCCTGCCCAGCCTCTTCCCCCAGTATCATCCCTTTCTCTGTTGAGTGCCTATCACTTGGACTTGGCAGCTCCAGGTCCCTGCTCACCCTCTGCCCAGCATGTCACTTGTGACAGCCGGGGTCAG